CCTTCTGGTCCTAATACTTTGACCTATCCCAATTTCATCCCCATTTCCTGTACTTGAAAGACCTAATGAGGAGATGGGAAGGCATTGGCTGCTCTTCCAGTGCATGTGCTGTCCCAGAAATTGCATGAAGCTGTCTCGAGCTCTCTCTGCCTTAGGTCCCTCAGTTTATTTCTTCAGTTCTGCTTTTGCCAGTCTTCTCAGGTGTGTGACAGAGAGTGGGTTGAGTCATCTGAGATTGCCCCTCAGAGGACCTATAAAGGTACTCAACACAAAGGTCCTCTCTCTGATTCTCAGCTCCACATGGGGAGGCTTTCAGATTCTTAACTTAGGGTATGCGGGCAGAGCAGAATCTTATCTCAAGATCCCTGAAAATCTGACTCCTATAATTTGGATTTTTCTCTTGCTTCTAATGTTCTCCCTACTGTGGGAATGTCAAAAAACCTAGACCTTCCCTGATTTTGTATTCTCTTTTAAGTTTTATGTGATTTACCTCTGATTTATATTATATTTATATTCCTAGAGTCTGACATGTCATCCTTTTTATCTGTCGTGATAAGTGACATTTAGGTTACTAACAGCATCTTGTTCACCATCCCATGGAGTGGGCTCACTGGTTAATTGAAAATTCTTGAAGGATAACACTTTGACCAATATCTTTCAGTGTCATTCTACTACATAAGATGTGTCCACATTATAGTCACTGAGTAGAGTGGTAAGCACATCCCATGATACTCAGAAAGTGTGAGATCCTGGTTTTTGTGAAGTGTCAGAAAAGTATCCTGTAAAGGTTCAGTGATAGTGTTGATCACATAAACTAGCTTACCTTTTTTGAGCCAATAATAAATGATGTAGGAATTTTTCCAAAGGAGAACATTGTTGAGATTTACAACTTCATCCCTATGAGGCTGTTGATGAAACCATTGTTCATGCATCATTTCCTATCCCCAGCATGTTCCATTGTTCACTCTTCTAAAATAAATGTGAGTTTGACGCATCTTACTGTGGAGAGCTAAGTGAAAATTGCATGAATTTGAATAAGGCCTATTTTTTTAAAAAAATTCTTTGGAGACAGGATCTTGCTCTTGTCACCCAGACTGTAGTGCAGCAGTACAGTCATAGCTTACTGCAGCCTCAAACTTCTGGATTCAAGTGATCCTCTTCCCTAAGCTTCCTGAATAGCTGTGTGTACTACTGTGCCTAATTTTTCCTATTTTTTTGGTAGGGATGGGGTTTTACTATATTGCCCAGGCTGGTCTCAGTCTTCCAGCCTTGCCCTTCTAAAGTGTTGGGGTTACAGGCATGAGCCACTGCACCCAGCCTAAGTTAGGCCTATGTTTTTTAAGTCCACCATAATTTAAGATACTGTTACTTTCATCTTGTACATTTCTGTGTATTTTGTACTTGCCTATATTCCAGAATACTTTGATAAGATAATTATAGTTACTCCTTTTAGTTACATTTCACCTTACTTAATTCTTACTATTAAAAGTATACATTTTTCAAGTAAATTTATTATAGTTTTAAAGTGAAATCATTTGATATCTTGAGAATATATATTTTTAATTAAGTTACCATGTCAATTGCTATACTTTGCTATATAATATATATTGCTTTTCTATAATGTTTTAGTTTTCTAAATATAATTTGTTGGATTTCCTTTAAAATTTTGCTGCTTTATTTTTCTGGAATGTGCTACATTATAATAATTATTCTTCCCACCTAGATTCATCGTGCACTTCTTACTATGCTAAATTAATATTTAAATTTCTAATTTTATTTTATAGTTAGCCCATTTCTTCTACTTCAAGGACTTCTCCACTGTTGTTTATCAAGCCTGTATTTTCTGCTTTTTATATTGAGGTAGTTTCATTCTCTTCCTAGTTTGTTGAGTTATTTTATCGTGAAAGAGTACTGATTTTTTTAAAATGTTTTTTCCTTCATTCTGTTAATGTGGAGCATTATGTTCACTGTCTCAGGTTACAGCATTCTTGCATTCCAAGAATAAGTCCTATGTGCTTGTGGTATA